ACATTTTTATTATCCAGAATTTAACTTAACTGCAGATAGTTCCTGGCTAAAGATGATGTAACTTCCCATTTTTACGTTTTGGGTTCTTCACATATTAATAGTCATTCTTCAGATTTTTGAATTTTCAGTTTTTCCTAGGCTAGCAATATTTGACCCTGTCTTCTCTTGTGATGTTGGCAGTGCCAGTGAAACACGCTCCAATCACAAGGGACAAACAACCAAGATGTTGGTGCATTGTATGCTAGGCTGGGATATTCAGTATATTAGGTATATTCATTGTATTTCCAACTTATTAAGATATTTCAACTTACAGTGGTTATATCAGGATAGAACTCTTGTAAATCAAGCATCTGTATGTATCTCTTTGTTAATATTTGGAATAGGCTACTGAACCTTTTATCTATGTGTATATGTTTTATCAAAATGAGAGTCTTGTGCGTATTATTTGTAACTTTTTTCCATTAATAATGTCTGTCTTTCCTAGCTAATACACTTTAATTTCATTTAATACACAATTGTTAAAGTTATTTATAGCTATGAGACAAACCACCTTGAATATAGTCGCTTAAATATTGTTTTCTTGAGATACTGGGAGACTGGACTGGGCAGTTCACTACTGATTTAAGTTGCTCTCACTGGCATGCAGTGGAAGAGCTAGGTGGGTCAGAAGAACCATGGTAGCCTCCCATCCTTCAGTATAGTCAGTTAGCTTCTTCATAACCTGGCAGTTTGAGTGCAGCAAATGAAGACTGCCAAGAGTGCAAAGGTAGAGTTTGCATAGCTGGTCCTGGAGCTCATACATCCTCCCTATCAATATGTGATCAGCATAGATTCATGTCTTGCTGAGGGGGAACTGCAAAGAGTTTGTATTCCTCTCCCAAAGAAATTTGTGTTGAGACTTAACTAATGGTCACAAATTATAAACAGTTTGTTCAGTCTAGGAAAACTTCCTGTTCAGTCTAGGAAAACTTCCTTACTTATATCCTTATAGTGTCTTTTAACATACTCTTCTAAAGAATTCAGGCAACTGGGAAGTTAAAGTAAAGGCATGATAAATTAAAGTTAAACTTTTTGCACTGAAATATTCTATATAAGAAATGTCACATATTTCATGTAATAAAACATTAAGAGAAATCTGTTATTTGGTTGTACTAATTAATACTAAGATTAGATTACATAGATGACTACATGATTCCTTCATTGTAGTGTTACATTTCCCCCCCTAAAAGTGAATATATTCTGTGTAGGGTTTTGACAATATATGGGTTTAACACATTCAAACTTATGGTTATAATATACAGATTATGTGAATTTCATATCAATTCATAAAGGTTTTCCTTGGCTTTTCAAATTTCTATATAATACTCTATTCCACTCCATTGTATACTTAACTATGTTCCTAATGACTGGATTTTTTGGTGGTTGTTCTTAGTCTTTTCTTAGGATTATGCCTCAAGGTTTAACTTGAACATCTGTCCATTTTAACTTACAGAAAAAACGTACTGCAGCCATCTGTGATTGTGTCAAATACCCTTCCATAGAAATTCTAGCATTTATACTTTAGTCAGCCTTGCTGAGAATGTCATTTCTATACAGAGTGTACCACCAAATTTCTGGATGTTTGTACATCTCTTAAATGAGAAGCAATGTCTCATTATAGAATTAACTTTCTTTTTATTTTTTATTCTGAGGCTAGCATCTTTTCATATTCTTGAAGACCCATTTGTATTTTTCTAAGAATTATTTATTTGTATTCTTTGTTCATTTTTTCTTCTCAAATTCTAGGATCTCAGAAAAATTAGTCATTTGGGATATGTATTTCATTGGTTTTTA